GATGGATAGAGAAACAGATAAATGGATGGGTGGGTGGATGCATGGATGGATAGAGAAACAGACACACAGATAGGTGGGTGGATAAATAGAAGGGAACTTCTAAAAGTTGGTAGATACTCATGGATCCCTTCTGAGCAGAGTCGAGGGACATGGATAACCTTGCTATGAGATAGTGACTATTGAGAACTTGTCTATGGCAGATGGAATTAGGTAGTAATGTGGTCCCTGGCCATTTGATCTCCCACTTGATCCATGTTGGATTCCCTCTCATTTCTTATTTTCTTGTTTGTTTGTTTGTTTTCTCTATCTACAGAGGTTTTGCCTCTGGTTTATTTTAATATTGTCTCTGGTTTATTTTAATATTGACGTCGGTATTTTCCACAATCTGAAATTACATATAAATATACTTTGTTTTCATTTTTTTGTTTTTGTATGTTATCCAGTATATGAAGCACAAGCAGGAGTGTAGAAGACAATGATTGGTGTATGGCTTATTGGGGACATGGGGGGCCAAGGTTGGAGGGAAATGAGGAGCAAATGATTCATAAAGAAGGGGTAGGAAGTTCTAGAACTGACTGTGGTGACGCATATACAACTCTTTTTAAATACAACTAAACTTTGGGAGTTCATGTGATCTATATCTCAATAAAACTACCGGAAAAATTGGCAGAAAGTTTCTATTATTTTAAAGTTTTATTTTCCCATGAACTTTTAAAAACTCCCTTATAAACAGATGAGTAGATTCTTGATAGGATGGGTGGATGGATGAATGGACACAAAGATAAATAAATGCGTCGACATACAAGTGGGCAGATGGATGAACAGATACGTGGTGGACAGATGGAGAATGTTTGTACATACATGGAGGCTGGATGGATGGATCGGTAGAATCCAAATGGATTCCAGGTGGTTTACTTGGAAGACACACTTTCAGAATTAAAAGTGGGGGGGGCATAAGGGGGGTGGTTTCTGCAGAAAGGATCTGAGTTAAAATGTCTGGGTAGTAAGTAATCTCTGCACCTCTCAGGTTCTGGCCCTAGAAACCTACCCAATCATGCACACTGAAGTTCTCCCTTACCTACTGGAGCCAAAGACATTCTCAGGAGGGCTCTGC